TTGGGGAAAGAGGCCGCGAGCCCCCCGGATGCACCAAAGCACAGCAAGAGCCTGGTGAAGCCACCCATGGGACAGCCCCAGCTGCCACTCGAGCAGCCCGTGGGTGCTGGAGGGCCTGGGCAGCCCCAGCCCCACCGGCAGATCCTCCGGAGCCTGGTGCGGCTGTCGCTGGTGGCCCTGGCAGAGCAGAGCCCCACCGGAGAGTTCGCCATGGAGTCACCCCCAGTGCAGGTGAGAGCTGCCCTGGGCATTCCCAGAGCTGTGCACCCCTCCACTCCTTCCTTTCACCACCCTGGGGTGGTGGGAATGTGCACCCTGATGGTCGTTGGTTGATCTCCTTCCCCGGCCCTGGGCAGAGGTGCTGGGTGGGATGAACATCCACCCCACCACGGGCAGGGTCTCCCCACGCTCACCAGAACACGCTGGGAGCTGGGAGGGAGGGTGTCTGTCCCAGGGAGAAGGGGACAATCCCGTGCTCCCGTTCCCAGGGGAGCGTGTGGGCAGGGAAAGGCAGGCAGATGGCGCAGGGGGGCCAGGTGGGCTCCCGGCCGCTTGTTTTTCCCCCTGCCCGGGGCTGCCGAACCATCTGCAGGAGGAGGAAAAGCTATAAAAAGGCCGGGGGGTCCGCGGGGACGTCCTGGCAGGAAGCAGCTTGAGTGGCGACCGCCGGGGCTCAACAGGCTTTTCCTGCCTTACAGCAAATCTCCCAGCTGCTCTCCCTGCTGCACCAGGGCCAGTTCCAGCCCAAAACAAACTACAGGGGAAACAAGTACACGGCCAAGAACGGCAGCAGGTAAGGCTGGATCCCGGCCCTTCCCTCTCCCACGCCCCCTTCCCTCCTGTCTCTGCTGCCTCTGCTTCAGCCTCACCAGCCCCAACAGCCTCCGAGGGCAGCACTGGGGCAGCAAAGCCTCACACCCTGAGACTGGGCAGGTAGGTCCTCCCTGCAGGGGATGGCCGTGCTCCTGTCGGTATTCCACTGCCCTTGGCCTCCTTCCTGGGGCACCTTTGGCAGTTCCATCCTGTCCTTGCCAGGGATTCCAGTGTAATGGACAAGGACACTCAGGAGCACAGAGGGTCCCAGCTCTGGAGGTAGCAGCACAAGGATGAGTTTTCCCATGGTTTTGGGCACTTTCTTAGAGATGCTGTTGACATGAATTTGGGGCAGGAGGCAAGAGAGGGAGACAATGCCAGTGGGTCTGGAAGAACTGAGATATGCCAGCTGTGTGCCAAAGATGTTCCCAGAGCCAACCTTCATGGTGTTCCCATTAAATTATGCTGTTGACATCTCTGGGTGAACACTCCTGAAGATGCCAGATGTCCTCCCATCCACACCTGCCCAAGCCATGGGCAGACACAACTTTCTCCACCTTCTGCATCTTCTGAGGATGGAGAGGGAGGGACAGTGGGTCCGGGGCTGCTGGGTCAGAGCTGTGATGCTCCTCACCTGATCCTGCAGGTGGGAAGCTCCTCTGAATTTATAGGGAGGAGCCAGCTCCCTGTTTCCTATGGATATGCCCTGGAAGTGTTCATGACCAGGCTGGACAGGGCTTGGAACAACCTGGTCTAGTGGAAGGTGTCTCTGCCCATGGCAGAAGGTCACTATGATGAGCTATAAGGTCGCTTCCAACCCAAACCATTCTGTGATTCTATGATCTCCTTGAAGAAGGAGAAAATCCCTCTTGGGCAAGAAATGTATAGCAGCCCCTTGTGTAACCCAAACAACCCCCAAATGGATTTCTTAGTGGGGACTGAAATCAGTGTGCCTTCGGTTCCGAGAGGGTGCCCACACCCCCTCCTTGGGTCATTTGTGGGGGACTGACACAAACACCTCCAAGGGGCTGTGGTGGGAGCTGAAGTGACTTGGTGCTGTGTCCCCTGGCAGGGCTGCAGGGCTGGACACTGACTGCCAGAGCACGAAGGACAGCGGGCACGGCGAGAGCGAGGCCGAGGACCGCGACTCCGACAGCGGCTTCGAGCTCTCGGTGCCGCAGCTGGTGGGAGAGGAGCTGGAGACCCTCCTGGAGCCACAGGCAGGTGAGGTGGCCTCGCCACTGGGAGCACGCTGGGGCTGGTGGGGGTTCTGGCACTGGGGTCTCCTCAGATAACACACTAACCCCATTCAGGAGGTCAAACAGCTGGCCTGGGGACATCTCATCTCCTGGAGTGTCTCTGACAGTGGCAGATGCTTGGGAGAGCATGGCTGGACCATCCCAGGCTTTCAGTGCCAGGCAGTGCCCAGCAAAAAGGCACTTGCTGAGCTTCATGTTGGATTTGTTCCTGTGTTTATGGGAGATCTCCTTTCCCGTGGATGTCTCTGCTGTTGTTCAGCTGATGTGTGAGGCTGAGCTCTGTTGTTGTGTAGGGGTGAAGTCCAGTTTAACATTGCACCTGGTGATCTGCTTTCCACCCTGACCCGAGCCCCTCCTTTTCATGGTCTCCTAGTCCATGCAGAGTGAGAAAGGTGGAGAGTTGTCCTTGTCAAGCCCCATCAGGCTCCCCTTTCCTCTAATCCAGTCTCATCTCCAGTGACCAACCTGCTGCTAATTTTAGTGTCTCTTTACTGAGATGTGGTGACCAGAATTGTGTCCAGTGTTTAGGAGCCACTGGGGGTACAAGGAGGTTTTCCAGTTTGTTCTTCATTCCTGCACTGCCCAAGCTCCCCACGAGCTCTGTCACCAGGCTGTTGGGGTGACTCCCAAACCCCTCCTCTGCATGGTGGGAGAGTCATCAGTACATGACAGGTTATTCCCTGGGACAATTGTCCAACAGTTGGTGACACAGAAATCCACCAGCCACGTGTTACTCACGGCTCTCAGCATTATTAGGTCCTTCACAACCCTCTGCTTTTGGGTGTTTCAGTAGAGTCGACACCAACACTGTGCCCTTCTCCTCGTCATTTATCACTGTGATGAGCAGATACTCTGGGACTCTGCTAATGACCTCCCTTGGTGGGGAAGATTAATTATTCCTACCCTCACTTCCCAGCTTTTAACACACATTAGTCCCTGGCTGTTGATTCAGGGACAGCTCAGGTCCCTGAGAGCCTGGCTGGTGCTTTTCCACCAGCTCAGGTGTCCTCTGTCATCATAGAATTGAATCATGGAATGGTTTGGGTTGGAAGAGACCTTAAAGATCATCTCATGCCACCCCCTGCCATGGGCAGGGACATCTTCCACTAGCCCAGGTTGCTCCAAGCCCCATCCAACCTGGCCTTGGACACTTCCAGGGATCCAGGGGCAGCCACAGCTTCTCTGGGCAACCTGTGCCAGGGCCTCATCACTCTCACAGGGAAGGATTTCTTCCTAAAATCCAATCTACCCCTGCCCTCTGGCAGTTTGAAGCCATTCCCCCTTGTCCTGTCACTCCAGGCCCTTGTCCAAAGTCACCCGGGACTCTTCATCCAGCCCTTCCAAAGACTCCAACAAATTTGCAAAACACAATTCCCCACCTTGACAGTGTCACGTTGGTTCCCTTTGGAACAGCACCTCCTTGTCCCTGTGCTGAGCCAGGCACAGGAGGATTTCTATGAATTTGCCCACACCAGATTCACCTTCACACGCTTAAAAGCTCCTGTCACAATTTCTCCTTCCCTTCCTCTGATCCCTGTTCATTTGAAGCAGTAGTTAACCAACAGCAGCTAATAAACCAGGCAATTTCATATCTGAGTTCCTCTGGCTCTCTGGGGTGAATACCATCTGGGCCTGACATTTTCTACATGTTCCTTTTATTGATTTGTTCTAAAAATCTCCTCTACTGGCATTTCAATTTGAAAGAGTTGGGCTGACTCATGTCCTGTAGCAGAAATTTCATTGTGGAAGAAGAGGAACTCGTTGAGGTTTGCTGCTGGGGTGGTTTTAATTCCAGAGTTGGGCATTTTTTGGTGCTCTTCCTTAGGGAGAGAACCTGCTGCTTCTCCCCATTTGCCTCCCTGCTGTTTTATTCTGGTAAGGAGTAAATGAAGGAAAGGCTGGGTGAAATGAGAGATGAAAGGTTTATGGATTTAAAGGTCCTGCAGCCAAGGGCAGGGAGTGAACAGGAGCCCACGTGCATCTCATGGTGCACTGACAGGCACCAATCCCACTAAAGGGATCTCTGTCTGGATCCAGTCCTGCCCACAAGGAGCATCCTAGAAAATCCATGCTTGGTGGGGCAGATCCATGAAATAACATCTCACATCACTCTTGGATCTGGTAGGAAAAAACCCTTTTGCCAAAGTACTGGAACTTCACAGAATCATTAAGGCTGGCAAAGCCCTCTCAGACCATCAAATCCATCACCCCAGCACTGCCAGGTCCACCACTAACCCGTGTCCCCAGGTGCCACATCCATGCTTTTTGAATGCTTCCAGGGATGATGATTCCACCACTTCCCTGGGCAGTGCCCCACCACCCTCACAGGGAAGAATTTCTTCCCAATATCCCATCTAACCCTGCTGTCTGTCAGTGTGTTCTCCCTTGTTCTATCACTCCATGCTCTTGTCCAAAGTTATCCAGGACTCTTCATCCAGACCCTGACAGGTTTGCAGAGCACGATTCCCCATCATGACAATGTCAAGTTGGTTCTTTTTGGAAGGAACTGTGTTCCATTTCTCAGTGAATGCCAGCAGGGAATGCTGAGGCTGTGCCCATGTGGCTTCCTGCTGGCCATTCCCAAGGAGGCTGCCCTGTTCCAGTGGTGGAAAACCCTCACCATGAGCCCAGAGCTTCCCGAGAAGGCGACAGGGCGCAGACGCCGGAGCTGCCGGGCTCCTTCCTCCTCTCCCAAACACAAACAGAGAAGTGGACTTGCATCCTGAGAGGGAGGAAGGAAGCTTTGCTTGTGCTCAGGAGTATCTTAACAGCTGGCTGAGGCTGTCTGGGCCTTTGTGCTGTTCCCAGCAGGAGGAACTGTGGGATTAATCAGTCCCAGGCAGCTCTGGGGTTGTTTATGCTGCAGGATGAACTCAGCCCCCTCTGTTAACGCAGACCCCCACCAGCCAAGCACAGCCTCTCCCAGCAGCAGATGAGAGATAGAACTTTATTGATGATAAAAACAACCCCTGCTCTCAAAGCACCATTAAAACAAGGCAGTAAAGAGTTATTAGTCAAATTAAACAAACCTAATCAAAATGTTTCATGGCCACAGGACCATCAGCCCACAGAGCCGTGGCTCTCCCAGCAGGGAGCAGACTGGTTGTGTCCTGCTCCAGAGCTGAGGCATCCAAATATTTAGGGAATGCAGTGGCTTCTTGCAGACTGGGAGGAGAAAACTGGGTGTTTTAAGAGCAAAACCATGGGGCTGCAGCGCTCTTGGGTGATGTGTTAAGGAACTGTGACTGAAAGAATTCTGAGATTGCAGAAAGAAATCCTGGAAGTGAAGCAACGCAAAAGGATTTTGGGGCTTCATCTGAAACAAAAACCTAAGTGATGTACTTGCCCTTCTCTCCTTACCAGGTTTGAGTCCCAGCTCTCACCCCCATTCCACGCAAGGAAAGCAGTTTTTCAGAGAAAAAGGACTGGTTGGCTGAGGAAGGAGCCTTGTCTCAGTCACTGAGTGGGGACCCTGTGTCCCAGGCTGGGAGAGGATACTGATGATCCTCTGGAAGCAGCAGGATAACTGCAGCAGAATGGAGACCCTCCTTCCAGAGGTCACTGTACAAGTCAGAGCCACACAATTATTAGTGACACCAGCTCTGGCCACCCTGGGACTGCTGTGTTTTGTTACCAGACACCTGTGACTTGTTTTACTGCTCTCAAAGTGTTTCACAAACCAGGTGGTCGCTTCCAACCCCCCAGGGGTTCTGGGATATGCTTTGGGAAGGAACAACGTGGGGCTGGAAGGCAGCTCTGTGCTCCTCAGCACGGACTCTTGTTTACCAACTACCTCAAAAAACAAGAACCCCCGTTTCCTTTCCTGCTGTCTGACGGGGAAGCTATTCCAGGCTCTCCCTGCTATGGGGTCCTTCCTTTCTTTTCCAGGAGATGTTTATTCATGGACAGTTGTAATCACTTCTTCTTTTGCCAGTACTATTTTAAGCCTAAAGATTTCCTTTGCCGGTGCTTGTCTCCTCAAAATAGTGGCAGGTTGCAGCGGGGCCCTGGGGAGCACTTGCTTCCTTAGGAGCAGTAACCCCCACTCCTGGAGTGTCCATCAGGTCGTCCTGGATCACTCCTGCTTTCATCCCCAGAGTTTTCCCTACTCTGGTGTCATTCCAGCTCCTCTCTCCTCTGGATGGATAATCAGATTTGTGTGTAATTCTCCTAATCATGTCTCGCCAGACCCGGTAACAATACCATGGATATGCCTTCATACCTTGACCAACACACTGGATGATTCCATTTCTGGGACAAAATCACATTACTGGTGCACTAAGGAGCCTGCCCCAACCCCCAGCCCAGGCTCCCACTGCTCCTCAGCTGTTTCCAATCGAGGAACAACCACTTTATAGCTCAATTGTTTGTTACTAGTGCTCAACCACCCAGCTGTGCATTTTATAATCCAGAATTTCATTCTGCTATTATTGTTTTCACAATAACCCATTTCTTCTCAGTCTCAATCTGCCTGCTTAGCAGCAAATTCCCCCCCTGGAGTGACCCTGAAGGGAAGTCCACTATCTTTGTGTCCAATACTTCCCCCTTGCAAGCTTTCCATTGTCAGCTCCCCTTTAGCCAGTCCTAAACCCTCCCTCTCTCTGGCTTTGCTAACAATTCAGTGAAGTGCCACTCCAGGCTGCAACAAATGAGAAAGCAAAGTGATTCTAATGGTTATTACAATAACACAAAACAAAGAACCCCAGTAGTTTTAAACCAGTTCTATTTTGCTTGGCTTTACTAAGCTGCTGGGTTGTATGATTTGGTAGTTTCTCCCTAGACCTGTTTACAATCACTTCTCTCAGTGATTTCAGGAGATCTTCCTATTAATCATTAATTTTATTTATTTGATTTTTTCCCTCTCTTCTCTCCTGTGGTCTCCTCTGCTCCCTGTCTCCCTCAGAGCTGGCCCTCAAGAGGCTCACGGCTGCAGACCCAGCGTGGATGGCCCGGCTCTCCTTCCCCCTCACCAGCAGCTACAAGGACAACGTCTTCTCCCCCGACAACCCCCACTCCTCTCAGGAGGAGGAGGCTGCAAGGCAGGAGAAACCAAGGACCTTTGAGACCTTTGGCAAAGGTGCTGGGGCTGACTCCAGCGCTGCTGGGACGAGGCTGACCAGCACCTTCCTCTCGGAGATGAGCACCCTCTTTGAAATGATTCTGTCCCAGAAGGTCCAAGTCCACAGCGAGACAGGCGCGGGGCTCCTGCGGCAGCTGTCGGCACGCGGGAAGGGCCTGGGGCTGGAGGACAGTGCTGCTGTTCTGTAGGTTCTGCTGGTGCCTGTGAGAAGGAGATGGGAGTCAGACAGAGCTCTGGGTGCACACGTGGGCTCCAGCAGGGTCACTGTATCGCCCATGTCTAGACAATCACAACAGGCATGGTCCTTCTTTTGCCTCGCCCCAGCAACTTTCTCCATCACTGATTTCACCTTGTTTAGTTGCCCTCTGCCTGCCTGTCCTTGCCTTCCTCCCCTTCCAGCTCCCCAGCACTCAGGTCACCCCTTCCTCCCAGGACAGGCTATGAGGGGATGGGGGTTGTTGGAACAACAGCACAGCAAGAAACGTCCACATGATCAGACTGTGCACCACGGACATCCAAATACCTGTCATGGACTCTGACATGTGCTGCAGAGTTGGGCTCCAGGATTTCAGTTATTTAAATAAAGCTCTTTTTTTCTAACATTACCCTCTCTGAACAAGGTGCAGTGTAGCTGACAAAGGTGCAGGAAGCCTGGAATGGCAGCTGGGAAAGGAGAGGATGTGCCTGTTGTCTCCCACTGATCCTTCCAGCTTTTGTGGTTCTACCACTGTGAATTTGCATTTTGTTAAACACCCCAAAATCAGCACTGGCATCTCTCCTATGGCTGCACCAGGTGCTCACAAATTCCCTCCCCATAACAAATGGACGTGGCACTCGGTGCTCTGATCTGGTTGACAAGGTGGTGACAAAGGTTGGACTCAATCTTGGAGGTCTTTTCCAACCTTAATGATTCTGTTCTATTCGATTCTCTTTGGAGGCCATTGGATTTTGGAGCACAGTCCTTATCCAGAAGCAGACAACAGATGGCTGGAGTCTGCCAAAGGTAACCTGGGAAAAGGGAAGCGTGAAAACACTGTTTTGAAATATTCAGTCTCCAGCTTCACCCTTATTATGGGTTTTCACTTTGATCTGTCTGTGTGTGAGCTGTAAGACAGTTTTGGGATAATTGCATGGGTGGGAAAACTAAGATATTGGTAACAAAGGAGGAAGCACACAGGTGTTTGTGCTTCCCCAGGGTGGATCTGCACTCACAGAGAATGGGAAGGAAGCTGCAGTGCATCCACAGGCTCCTGTGTGGATGGCAGGGAAGGGATTTTGGATCCTGCACACACGGGGGACTCTTCTCTGTACCAGAGTTTGGGCCTTCCAGCTATGGTATAAAACACCAGAAAAGATTTGGGGCGTGCTGGAGAAGGGGCTGTGTAGGTGGGAGGGGGGTCAAAGATGGGAATGAGGGTGAGCATCACCGCCCTGCCAGCACTGCAGTGTCACTGGTGACACAGGGCACTGCCCTCACCACTTTGCCTGCTTCCCTTCACATCTTCACAGCAAAAACACTACACTGACTTCACCACAGACACCCCAGCTCACAACGTGAGCCAAAGCAGGGCCAAAGCAGACTTGCTCATTTGCTGTCACATCAGGGGTCTTTGGGTGATATTTTTGGCTTGCATTTTGATGTTAAGTTGAAAAAGAACAGGTACCACAATCCTGGACCATCTCAACAGTGTCCAACCTGTGTTCTTTTCCCTTCACCTGGAGGTGACAGTTCCCAGCTTTAGGTGTATACACAGCACCAGACAATCATACAGATCATTTAAAGCAGAGTAAATGAGAAAGTTATCCCTTTCTCTTGCTCTTGGAACCAAATGACAAGAGAAACAGAGTAAGATTTCCCCAGGTGGACTGTTTAACACCCAAAATATCCACTGTTGTGTTTGGAGCCTCCAAAATGCTTGCACAGATGAGCCCATCTCTGGCATCTATACACGGATGGGTTCGTCCTGGGTTTGCTAACAGAAATCTCTTGCTGGTTTGTTTTACAAACAAAACAGGTTCCTGCACCAAAACAATGACAGGGAGCCAAATTCCAACTGAGCTGCAGCTGTGCAAACCACAAGGGAAGCATTCTGGGACTGAGGAGATGCAGCCCTGTGGGAGCATCTCAGGAGTACACACAGAGGACAAACCTCACACCTTCCTCTACAGAGTTGCTTCGATGTGCCTGTTAAAGGACAATCTTTACACCAAAATACCTTAGAATAAGCAGATTAAAAAGGAGACAAATTCCTCCCTCTTGGTTCAATTTCCTGATCCTGCTTTCAACCCCCCAGCCCCTGCCCCGAGCTGCCCAGTGCGTAAGCACGCTGTGGGTTATCACAGCATAGGAAATCCACCCCAGGAACTTCCTGCTAATTGTATCCTGCTTGATAAAGGAAATGGTCGAAGAAAGCTTGGTCTGAGCAGAAAGAGAGACCAGACTAGAAGAACAATCAGATGGGTTGAGGGCTGGCTGTGCCCCTCCCTTGCTGAATGGAGACCACAGCAAGTTCAGGATGGGGCCATTGCCTTTGTTTTCCAGAGCCTCATCCATACAAAGCACCAAGCACCACGGCCACAGGAAGCTGGGCAGTTTGCACAGATGCCCTTGAACCAGTTTACACTGGTGTGGACAAATGCCTTTTTCTGGATCCAGCTGCCCCAGTGGAAGGAATTATCCCAGCAGCTGCCTGCTGCTGCCTGCCAGTGGTGCCTTCCCGCTGGGAGCATCCCTTATCCACTGACTGGAAACAAGCTGGCGTGCTCAGCAAACATGTCCAATATACATTTTGAAGCAAACCTTGCTCACTGTGACTCAGAGGGTGGTACCCATGGGAGCAGCTCACTGCCAGGGCTGAAGGAATGACAACTGGGGACTGAAGGCCATGGTGCAGGATGGCTGAGGGCAGCTGTCACTCTCACTGGTACAGGTCATATCCCAAAAATCCTGTGTCCTAATAATGAGAATTCACTCTCTTGCTTGCACAGGTTTGGAAGCAGATTAAAATGGCAACGTAGAGCTGAGCTCAGACTGTGCTGGTAGCAGAGCCACTGTGGGAACTTGCCTTCAGGAGACAGCAAATTGCCTCAGAGAGTGTGGGCCAGACCCATCACAGGGTTAGTTGCCAACATCACCATATGGTGGCTTGTAAACCTCATTGGGGGACTGTGCAGGACATGCAGGGCTACTGGAATTATAACCCCAAATCACATCACAGTGAATGGTTGCTGGCAGAGAATGGTTTGGGCTGGAGGAGATCTTAAAGCTCATCTCATTCACGCCCCTGCCATGGGCAGGGACACCTTCCACTAGCCCAGATTGCTCCAAGCCCTGTCCAACCTGGCCTTGGACACTTCCAGGGATGGGGCAGCCACAGCTTCTCTGGGCAACCTGTGCCATGAGTCTATACATTGCTCTATCCAGAAATGTAGGTGCATAAAGCAACATCCTTGTATTGGAAGGTAAGAGGACCAGATGATATGGTGGTGTAGGAATATCACAAAGTTTATTCTCAAACCCCTGAGACTTAAAAATGGCTCCTGTTCATGAACAGGAAGCTTTCCCTTTCCAATCCCTGCCAGTCTGCTCTGCTTCCTGCCCCACATAGACTAAGGGTTTCCAGCCCCACACAGACTAAGGGTTTCCAGCCCCACACAGACTAAGGGTTTCCAGCCCCACACAGACTAAGGGTTTCCAGCCCCACACAGACTAAGGGTTTCCAGCCCCACACAGACTAAGAGTTGCCTTCTCCTGTGCTGGTGTCACTCACTGCCTGCTCTAGGAACAGCAGCTGTGGGGCTCCCAGAACTGCCTTTCCAGAGGCACTGTCCTGTGTCCGAAGGCACGGCTCCATCCTGCACTGCTCAGCAGCATCACATGGAGTCTGTCTGTGCTCCAAGAGTGGGGCAGGGTGAGGGCACATCCTGGCTGGGTGCTGTGGAGATCTGCAGACACAGGCTCCAGAGCCCAGAAACTGGGGCTCGAGGAAGAGGCTCGTATTCCTGAAGGGAATGGATGCTTTGCCCGCACATCTGAAAGGACAGAAAAACGAGATATTAATCACAGAATGGGCTGGGTTGGAAGGGTTCTTGGAGATCATCTCATTCCAACCCCACTGCCATGGGCAGGGACATCTTCCACTACACCAGGTTGCTCAGGGCCCCATCCAACCTGCGAAAGGTTGGACTCAATGATCTCAGAGGTCTTTTCCACCCTAAATGATTCTGTGACACATCAGACTATGGGAATGGCTTCTGCACTTCAGCTGGGCCAGAAAGAGGTGGTCAGAAGTATAAATAACTGAAAAGTAGTTGCTTCCCTTCAGTCAAAAGAACTCCTCAGTGCCTCGGCCCTATGTGACCCTTCCTCTGGCAATACAGGCCCCACCATTATGGGGTCAGTCCCCTGGAGACCCACACCCTCCACCACCCTGTGATACCTTCCAGCTCCTCTTCCCACAGCTTCAGTCTCTCCTGGGCGTGCCTGTTCCCAGCAGCAGCTGCCTCCCTGTAGTGCCTCAGTGCCTCTGCCAGGTTCTGCTGCACCCCAAGGCCCTGCTCGTAGCAAACACCCACGTGGTACCTGCTTTGGGCATCCTGGCACAGGAGAGAGCACAGGGAGAAGTGACAACAGCACAGGAAAGGAGAGCACAGAGTCTTTAACACCTTCTTTAAAGTTTACTGCTCCATCTTTGGTTACCCTCTTAAGTTTACTCCTCTATCCCTCAGTAATTTAGTATTTTAGTCCCTCCTCTGAGCACACAGCAAAGCAGAATTCCCCCCCAGCTATCTCTGCCTCTGCTCCTTCCCATCCCTTTCCAATTAATTTCACCGATTTCCCTTCAACACTCAGGTCTGTGTCAGGGGAACAAAGGAACAGCTGGGTCTGCAGAGCATCCTGATTGTCTCAGGGGTCAGAGCTGAGAGGATCTGGGCAGCCCTGGCTGCACCCACATCCTGATCCCACCCAGACCCCGGGCACGCCCCGGGACTGCCCTGCAACGGTTCACACTGAAATCTTGTAAGAACTAACAAATGCCACAGAGGTACTTGCTGAAAAGGGTTGGAAGATTCCCCCTGGCAGCCCTTAATGCACCAGTGCTGCACTGTCCTGCTCAGCCCCACCTGATGCTACTGCAGAAGAAATCTTGAGCAGCAGAAATGAAATCAAGCAAGTAAACACAGAGAGAAAGCACCTGAACCACTCAGACACGGGGAAGTGCTGAGAATGAACTAGAAACTAAAGGGTGTCACTGCAGATGGGTCAGTGAAGCCAAATCCAAACCTGTGCCATGTTTATGTGTTGACTGTGCACTTTATCTTTGAGATCCAATGGGAAGAAAAGGGTCTCAGGTGGCAGGAAATCAAGACATTAAAAAGATGATGACATTAAAAAGACTGCATGGGCTAGTGGTCACACAGACCTCTCCAGCTGCACAACCTGAAGAGTATGGCTGCCAGAAACATGATCTAAACAAGGCTTTGCAAAAAAAAAAAAAAAAAAAAAAGAAAGAAAAGGAGAGGATAAGAAAAGAAGGGAAAAAAATCAAGTAGCAAGTTTTTTAATAAAGCCACGAGAAAAGAACATATTGCAAGTGTTGCTGTCTGGGACGTAGCTGGTAGAGGCAAGTGAAGAACTCAGTGAGTGGGTGCTTTGCAAAATGTTGCAAGTCTCAGTTTATGACAGCAATAAACTCCTTTAGAGACGAGATAAACTTGTTGAAGGATTGGCACTTCAGCTGTGACAAGAGACAGGGTTCAATCAGAAGTGCTGCACCAACCATCTCTCCCAGGATGAGCACCTCAGACACAAGGCTGCCAGGAGAGGAGATCCCCAAATCAGCACAGCAGAAGGGACTGAGATATCCCTGGAAATGTGGAGGTCAGGCTCAGTTCTCCACAGCACTCTTTAACACGGGTTTGATATAGGGAGGATAAAAAGTGGGAACCAAAGCAGAAAAGAGCTCTCTGCAGAGCAGTGTTTGGAAGGACACTTGTCAGAGTTCCCTGCTCGGCTCCAGCACCCAGGAACAACCAGGGAAACACTGAATCCAGGACTTCCTGTGCCTTTCTCTGGAGTTGTACTAAACAGGGCTGTCCTTGTTTCACCCATACCCAGCATCCTTTTAACCAACTAAACACCAATTCATACTCCAGGGTAGTGGGAAAGGAACACACCCATGGACCCTTCTTGCAGGGGAACGTGTGGGGTTCCACCCCAGGGAGCCCAGGCCCTGAAAGCTGAGGCTCTGGGACATCCACAGCCAGCATCCATTGGGAACCAGAGAGGGGGAAGGGTGGATGGGGTCTGAGAACTGCCATGGCTGTGACCAAAACATGCCAAACACTGATCTCCTGGGGGGTATCTGACAGATTTTGTGTTGCTAAGGGCTTACCAGTAAATGACAATCATCTGTTTAATAATTCAGTGTGATATTGTGCAGCACACACATCTGACTCCAGGCTGGAAGAAAGGAGCCAGTGATGCAGCTTCTGAGAGATCTTTAGCAGATTTAGAACTAAATACTGTGTACCATGATGTCTGAGCTGCTGTGGCTGGTCAGGCCTAGTCCCACCAGTGATCTGACAGTGTCTGCACTCTGAAAATAGGGTGAAAACCCAAGTGGCAAAGTTTGCAAGTGATGTAATGCTGTTCAGAGTGGTCAAACTTACTATACAGAATTAACTAGAGAAGATCTCACAAGACTAAGAGTGGGCAACAGAGTCACAAAAGAAACAGTATTGCCAAATGCAAAGTAGTGCTTATAGAAAGAAATCTGTGATATCACACTGTGATAGTTCCCTGAGACCATCTAATCACTGCTCAGTGTCAGGCAAAAGGGCAAAGAGTATTAGGAATTATTAGAAGGGAATACAGAACAAAGCAGAGGATCTCATTATGTGAGATCCATGGCATACCTCCATCCTGAGTCCAATTTTAGTCCAAGCATCTTAAAATGGTCAAAGGAGAATTAGAAAAATAGAGAGAAGGCTGACAAGGAAAGTAAAATAGCATAACTGCACGGGGAGACAAACTAAACCAGAGCTGTGCAGCCTGCAAAAGAAATGACTCAGAGAGGACACACTAAAGGGCACCACAACCAGAACTATTAGCCAGCAGAACAGGGAATGGCTATTCATTATTTTCCATTGCACAAAAGCTGTGGGAACTGAAGTTAAAATGAGCAAGTTCTTCAGAAAAAAAACTTGCTCTCACAATGCAGCTGAAAACAAGGGGACAGTGTGGCAGTGCTGTAAGGAAACAGAACTGTGGGATGCAGAAACCTGGCTGCAAGACGTGGGATAGCACACTTGTGCTCCTCTGAGTGCTGCTGAGGGCTCAGGAGCAGTATTGTGCTCACACTGTGGCACTGCCCTTCAGACAAAACAAGCCTGGGTCACTTGGAGAAAGTGGAAGCAAGATAATTGTTGGAGATTTAGACAACATGACCTGTGAGGAGAAACTGCAATAATGGGGGAAGGGTGAAAGGAGAGTCAAGTATTTAAGTATGTTAAAGGTCCCTGAAGAAAAAAATGAATCCAGAAATAGTCCTTCCATCCTCTCTACAGAAGGCAAGAAACAATGGGCCAATTTTGAAGAACAGATTTGAGACGGACACAACGAAGTTCTAAAAATGATGAAGTAATGAAAGATTTTGACTGAAGAGGGTGCAGATGCTCCATAATGGGAAACATGTCCCATTCTGCTGGATGGATACAAGCACTGGTGCTTTAAGAACTCCAACAGGGCTGTCTGTACCTTCATGCTTTGTAGGGTCTGTGCCTGGGGCCTGTTTCCTCTCCCAGATGCACCAAGACTCCCCTCTGTCCTTTCACACTGTGCAGTAAAATCCTGACACTCACTCCCATTTCCAAGAAGCCCTGGAATCTGCCACCTGTAACCTGAAACAATCCCAAACTGAGTACAATCAGAGTTTACAGAGGGATTACTTACACCACTGTTTGCTGCCAGCAGCAGGTACTTCAGACCCCTCTTTTCCTGGGGCTGCAGCCCCCTCATGTAGAACACTCCAAGATAAGCCTGTGCCTGCAACAAAACCACACAGGGTACAGATCAGCCAGCTTTTTTCCCCTTAATTACTCCAGTTCCGTTGCTGATTTTGCAAGTTGCTCAAATGCTGTGGCAAGACAAGTGTCCCAAGGACCCTGCTTGCTGCAGAGCCTGTTGGGAGAAGGGGGGCTGTCCTAGGAAAAATCAGCCTGACATGGTAAACACACAAAGAAATCCCATTTATCTATCAAGTCCACCACACACGCAGTTCTCATCACCATCCCAACACTGTAAAAGCCAGAATATCCTTTCAAACTGCACTGTGGGAGGCAGAGCCAGGGAATGGTTCCGACTCGTGAGCTGTCCATGAGATCCAGCAGATGCACCTCCTGGAACAGGGTGGCACAGGAGGCACAGGCACTGCCAGCATGACTGGCACTCCCAGCAGAAGATGGCACATGGGCCTAAATGCATCTCCTGGAGAGAGGGAAAGGAGGGCAGGGTACACAGATCCACAGGGATGAGTCATTGCCAAAGTCACAGCTACAAAATGAGGATCTGTTCTCACTTCAAGCATTTCGTGGAAGTTCCTCCAGCAAAGCAACACTTGGAATTGAGAGGAGATGGAACACTGAGCTATGTTTTCAACTGTAGGTCAGTTCTCTTAAGCCAGGGCTCTGAGCTAAGAGCCACATTAAAAACAGACACTCAGTGTGCTGATACAGCTGGTTCCCAGCTCCCATGTGCAGGCAGGGCTGTCTCCCAGACACTGTCAGGAATATAAATATATAATCAGAGAATCATAGAATGGTTTGGGTTAGATGGGATCTTAAAGATCACCTAGTTCCAGCCCCCCTGCTGTGAGCAGGGATAAGCATGTTGGAAGAATTTTGCTTCTAGTCCAACAAACGATACTTTCTAGGCTGTCCTGTGGCTCAAGCCCTTCAGTCAGGATTCTCTGCTGGCTCTCTCCTGTGACCCCCCAGGCTGCAGACACTGACCTCTGTGATCCCAGCCGTTGCTGCTCCCTCCAGGAACGTCAGGGCCCTCTGGAGCCTGTCCCACTGCTGGCCAGGGCTGTGCTGCAGGAGGTACCTCCCGTAGCGGTACTGGGCCATGGGGTGGCAGCTGCTGGCAGCGTGGCAGTAATAGAGAGCTGCCTGTAAAGAGAGAAACCCACCTGTGTGAGCCAGGTAATACATGCCCTGGAACATGATGTGACCCCTCCCTGGACAGGTCAAGCTTAACCCCTGTTTAGATCCATCATAAGCTGCACATGGTTCCCCCCACAGCTCTCCCACCCCTCCCTGCTGAGGAACAGCAGCTTGGTTAAACCAGACAGGGGGCTGTGACTGCCCCAGAGCCCTGGAACCACCCTGCCTGCTCTACTCAAACCTCCCCAGCTTGAAGGGGGTGGCACTGGGCCAACAATTACTCAAAAGAAGCTGCTTCTGCAGCTCTTCACAGCTCCAGCAGCTGCTGGCTGCAGCCAGCCTGCACTAGGTGGCAGGCTGTAGTTACCATTCCCAAACTGGAGATTTAGGAAGCCCTCGGATGTGCAGTGGTGTCTTAAATACAGTAACATGACAGGTTTCTCCTTGGTGCCCTCCTGGGTGCTGGTGGCACAGCCTGTGCACCTGGAGAAGCCCTCAGAAGCTGTGGGAAAGGGGATCTCAGAGCACATTCCTGAGGGGATTGATGGCACTGAAGCCAGCTCTGCAAACCCACAATTTATATTATTTCCAGCAGTTTCTACTAAGTCTTCAGAGCCCGGGCACTGGAACAGGCTCCCCAGGGCAGTGGTCATGGCCCCAGGGCTGAGAGAGCTCCAGGAGTGTTTGGACAACGCTCTCAGGGCCAGGGTGGGATTGCTGGGGTGTCTGTGCAGGGCCAGGGGTTGGACTTGATCCTTGTGGGGTTCCTTCCAGCTCAGGATATTCCATGACTGTCACACCCATTCAAAGGAAAAAGCTCCTGAGCACCCAACAGAGACCACTCCTGATCTGTGCTGCACACACACAACCCCACAAGCCGTGGATACCTTTTCCAGGTCTTTCTCTGTGCCTCTGCCATGCTCATAGCACAGGCCCACGTTGAACTGGGCTTTGCTGTAGCCTCGATCAGCAGCCAGTTTGAAGCAGGTGAAGCCTGTCCTGCAGTGCCCTGCCCTCATGCTCTCGATCCCTGAGGAGAACACAACGTCACAACAGGGCAAACACAACGGCCACAACTCAGCCCCGAAGGCAGCAACCTCCCCCTCAGCCACTGAGCCCTCCCTGGCTCGTGCCAAGGGCTCTGGGCCACTTCCAGCTGGCTCAAGAACCCTCACTCCACAGTTTCCACAAGAAAAACAGCAACACTGCATTTTAGGGATTTTTCCAGCCTCGTTCCAAAGAGGGATCACGGGCTAACACAGTGTATGGCTCACACTGCTTTTCAGGGCTGCAACTAGTGCTGTATATAGAGACAGGGACTTAGATCACTGCATCTCCCCTCAGCCTTTCTTAGAGTTGCAATTCTGCAATTGCTTTTTCAGCTTGCCAGAAAGACCATGAGCTCATACAACAAAAAAAGGATACAAGGATGTGACATCTTGTGTTGCAAAAAAGACAGAGATGGCTTAATTTCCCACTACAGATGTCAGGACAAGAGTGCAGGCTTCAACCAAGCCTGGATTGAAATATGCTGATATAAATCTGGTGGTAGGATGGGACATAGGGCAGTAAATCTCTAGGAGCACAGTTAAAATTGCTGAAAGGAGGCTTCAGCTTGGGTATATGCCATCTCTGCCTTCACACAAGACCTGCAATGCTTTGGAGGTCCTCCAAAATGAGAAACCTGTGGTTTAAGGGCAAAACAAACCCAAGTCCACATTACCGAGGATATTCAAGGCAATGGAAATATCAATCCGGAAAATCTGCTGCAATTGGAAAGCGGCTTCCTCTAAATGCCCTCGCTGAGCTGGGTCACCCTGAGGAGTCAAGAAGAGAGCTGTTAAGGCAGCAAAATCATATCAACCCTACGGGAGATTCTTGCTTGGAAACAGAGCAGTGAGAGCCGTTTGTGCTGTATTACAGTTACCAGGGGGGTGATGTCATCTGGTGTCATGTGTCCACAAAAGACATCTCCCTGTCCTACACAGCCATCTACCTAGGGAAGCTGTATGGACACTGCTCACCTCCCCTCTGGCCAGGGAGCTTGGTGCAGCCTCATGGACATCATCAGATCTTTCAGAATTCAGCAAATACCTGATACTACTCATTGCAGTCTGCAGCTTCCTCATGAGGGGCAGCTCCGGTCTCTGCTCTGTGTGAGCAGGGATAGGATGGAGGGAATGGCTGGAGCTGTGCCAGAGGATGATTAGGTTGGATCTCAGGAAAAGGTTCTTCCCCAGAGGCTGTTTGGGCACTGCCCAGGCTCCCCAGGGCAGTGGGCACAGCCCCAAGGCTGCCAGAGCTCCAGGAGGGTTTGGACAAGGCTCTGAGGGACAGGGTGGGATTGTTGGGGTGTCTATGCAGGGCCAGGAGTTGGACTCCATGATCCTTGTGGATCCCTTCCAACTCAGGACATTTATCCTGCGATTCTGTGATAACTTCCCCCTCCAAAATTAACCTTACCCCTTGTTCCCTCTCCCACACCATGCCCACAGCACAGTCCCTGCCAACACACACTCACATATCTGCCCGTGCTTTCCCCCAGTTCCAGCCGAGCCCAACCCTCCTGAACACTGCCCAGGGATGAAACCCTGCCCGGCACAGACGATGAACGGCGTGTTTCCCTCCAGCACGGCCCCGGGAGGTGGGAGGAGGCTCAGCCGGGCCCGCAGCTCGCACGCCCCGAGTGCCATCGAGCGGCAGCCGCGCTCACTGCACAGGAACTGCCCCTCGGCACCACAGCCCCGCCGCTGAGCTCCCTCGGGGCTCCCCTCCCTGCTCCACCACCTGCCCCGGGCCCTTCCTGCAGCCCTGCACCACTGGCACCTCCCAGCAGGGGCACATCCACACTCACCCCCTCAGCAGATCAAGGAAAAGCCTTTTCGGTGCCTTTTTCAGGAACCTGCTCTGCTAAATGCTAAATTTACCTCTGCTCTGCTCCCAGCGTCCTTGAGCAATTGTTCAGCTGACTGATTAAAACAGGGAATTATCTGCATCTAAGACTGTGAATTGCAAGGAATTAGCAGGTTTAATCACAAGAACAATAACATAATCTGTGGCCTTGTGATCTCAAGATGATGCACCCTCTTCAAGCCCCTCTACAACAGACAAGAGCTGGCCCTGATTTGCAGTGTTTGGAATGACACCACCTTCTCCAGTCCTGGGTTGTCTGGTAAAAAACCAAAATAGGAACAGCACAGGAACACCTAGTGAAAGATTGCATCAAAATGCAAATACACAAGCACAGACTAGTGCTGCTGAATTAGGTTTTTTTGGGAGTGGTTTTTTTTTTGTTTATTTGTTTGTTTGTTTGGTGGTTTTCTCCATTTTCCTTCAGTGGTTCACCACCAGCAGCCCTTCTACACAGACACTTGAAAGGATGGGGATGCCAGAGTGCAGTTCCTGGAACTTTGCTCTGGCTGAAGCAGAGGGCAGCATATCACAACTCCCTTTCTTTTTCCAGAAAACAGTCATGTTTGTGAGTGTATTGCTCAGGCTGTACTTGGGGTGGCCCTGGGATTTTTTCCTGCAGGGAGGGTCCAGACAGAGGGTGTGAACAATGAAACAATACCTTTGCACTGTGGAGAAGTGGCTCCACACTGGAGCTTGCAGGGATTTGGAACTCCCCTACATAAAAAAAACAAACACAGGATAAAAAAAGCAAGGTTAAGCAGTGCTGCATCTTTGCCTCTTCTCATCCTCTCTATTCCACAGGTCTTTCCTGAAGAACTGATCTCCCATCAGTCAGGGACATTAAAAAAGAGAGAACACCAACTGATCTGACCTTTGGAGCAAAGCAACCACGTGCCACAGGAATCCAGCCCTGTGGCTGCAGCTGGTTACAGAGCCCCTCCAGAAAGGCCCTGGCTTTGGTTTGAAGACACCAAAAGGTTGAGATCTCCCCTTTCTTCTAAAAGTGTGTTCCACTAACTTGCAATTGCTGCTTCAAACCTCTGTGCTTCCTTTCAAATTAAAATACAACTGGTTTCTGCTCCCAGGCACTGGCTCTTCTAGGTTTTTTTCTCCTCTTTACTAAAAAGCCAATTCCTCCTTTTGAAAGCCCTGACACGACTAATCAACCCCTCTTGATTCCTGTCTGTGATTCTAAACAGTCTGTGCAGTTCATGTCTTTTAACAGCAGTACTTTTCTGCCAGAGTTGATTAATTTTATGACTTTCTGCCACTATTCCTGAATTTTGAGCATTGTTACTGAAGTACAGACCCTCTTACTAGTGTCACAGGGGGACATGCAAATTCCTAGCTGCCTGGTTTGCACGGATCAGAACTGTGCTCCAATTCCCACTGGAACCCCATTGTGATGCCCAGGGCATCTCAGCTGAGGTTCCTGCCTCCCTACCTCCTTTCCCAGGTAATTTCTTCCCAGGGGATGTAGGGGATGATCAGACACGTTATCTGGCTGCATCAGATGCAGGCTCTGGTTATCACCCCCCTATCCCCCCAGCTCAGGGCTCTATCAGTTCAGATACACTGGTACAACCTCGTGTCCAGCCACTGTCTGCCCAGTTTCAATCAGAATTATCTAACAGAGGCATCTCCAGCACAAGCTAAGCCACCTTGCTGGGCACAGAATTGTGCTGGCAGTGATTACACAGGCATTTACTCCAGCTCCTCTAAGAGGACAGTGACCTCCACACAGAGCTCAGGCAAGGCCAAGTATTTTTAACCTGAATCCCCAACCCCCCCTGGATCCCACTGGACATTTAACACCAGGTGCTGGACCCTGGATCACTCTGAGCCAGAGCTGTTCACACCAGCTGTGCCCTCCCCACATCCTCCTGTCCCCTCTCAAGCTGTGCAGCTTCAGAGCAGGGAGCCAACACAAGTAAAAAAAAAAATGCCCTTTTAGGGCCTGATTCCTTAATTCCTGGAACTATTTGGCTACTCAAGCACTTGTGCCAGCACAGCAGCAGGAATGAGGGGTGCAACAGGCAGGATTGCTCCTTGCAGTGCCTGGACCATGTCACAATGTGCAGGAAGCCGTGGCCTCTGTGCCAGCTGCAGCCTCATTATTCTCAGACAAACAATTCCCCTCTGGCTGTATTAAAATGTATTTTATCTGAACAAGCCCCACTCACCCAACAGGCAACATTGCTCTGGCAAACACGATTTCTATGCATCATTCCACCAAAAGTAGCATAATCTGTGAATTTATTAGTTGTGCTTTCCATTTATTTTCAGATCAGGCACCAAATTATCTGATCTTCCTCACTGCAAGGCTCTATCTCTTGTGCAGGTATCTCCCTCGTGATGTAATTTGGGTTTTTGCCACATATACAACTGCAAATCCCATGAAAAAAAAAAGTCTGTTTAACAATTCTCCCAGTACTTGTTTAAACAACATTAGTACCTCCATGCTTTTAGGAAACCTTACATTTTGCACAGATATCTACTCCTAAATCAGAGGAAAGCATGCTGTAATTTGGACAAACCATTAAACCATGAAAAATAAACAGCCACTAATTCTGAATTCTGTCAGCTTGCAGAACCACCTTGTTCCTCTCTCCCACTGGAAACCCCTCCTCACTCAAACCCCAGTGATCTCCCCAGAGCAGGGTAACCCCTACCAGAGAGCATTTGGAAGAAAACACAGGAACCAACTGATCCTGACACCCAGCCCCATCTCCTGAAGGATCCCAGACTGGTTTGGGTTGGAAGGGACTTGAAAGATCATCTCGTTCCACCCCTGCCATGGGCAGGGACACCTTCCACCAGCCCAGGTTGCTCCAAACCCCATCCAATGTTTCCCTGGACACTTCCAGGGCTGGGGCAGCCACAGCTTCTCTGGGCAACCTGTGCCTGAATTCCCTCAGAACTCACCCCTGAGGCTGGGCAAGCCTCAAATCAAAACTCTTCAAGAACACCCCCAGCAGCAAAGAATCCCTTCAGCAGAATGAGACAACCAGCTGAAATTAAACTTCAACCTGGCATTAGTTAATACAAGTTCACCCAACTGTTTCTTACTTCTCAAGCTTCCAGCAGAACTTCCCAGCCCTTGAACAAAGCCACTGCTACACTGCTCACACAGGACCACGTCAAATTATTCTTCAGGTCGGAGGTGCAAAAGCTGGGAACTCCACAGCTGGGATTTTCTGTGCAACTGGATCTCTACTTCTACAGACATATGCTATGATGTAACATGACTACACATCCTGTTTTTAGTGTTCTGGATGCCCAACGCTCACATATTCAGCAGTTAATAAATATTTTTGTCTTTCCCCACTGTTCATCCTGGACTAATGAAATGTTGCTCACATCTAGCTCCAACTGAGGAATTAATAATCTTCTCAGAGACAGTTCTAGATTGCTCATCCCAAAACATCCAAAGGCTTCATGAGAATGAAGTCACAACAAGAGCTGGACAAAATCCAGCATTTCTGCCTCATGGAAAATTTCAGTGTTTCCAATTGGTTTCATTGTGCTTTGAAATGAAAACACACTTTTGCAATGTCTGTAATCTCAGAATTGAAATAACGAATTTTACAGTTCTGCCAGGGGTAAAATACAACTCCCCAGGGCAGCATTCAGCTGCTGTAACACTGAGACTGGCTGTAATCACCTGCTTGCTCACTCTGTGCCTTTAACTTCCAGTAAAAAGGCTTCAAGTGAGGCAGGAATTGCATGAAAAAAAAGCATGTAAACATACAGCTGAGGACTTGCTGATAGCAATAGCCAGAGTGTTATTTAAAGCAACTTTTAAGTTAATTTCCCAAAGTTTTCTTTTAAAACACACTGAAGCAATAAATTCTATGGTATTTTGTTACATTAAAACTGGAATGGCTCATCTGCAATGCTGGAATGTTGGGATCCATGCCCCAGATCTTTGCTGCTGGAGGTAGTGACAGCAACAGCAGATTGTCTCTGTACATGGAGAGCAGCACCAGCAGGTCTGGAAATGAACTGAAACCCTGAGAGAAAGGGGAAGGACATGGAATTCTCTGCAGAAGATCCTTTGCCATTGCTGGCAACAGCAAACTGGGGCAGGGAAGGTACATTCTGCTCCACTGAGAGTTCTGAGGTCTGTTCTCTCATGGCAAGGCTTTGCCACCAGATTCCTCTGCGTCATCTGCCAGGTGTCTGTCCTTCCCGGCCTTCTGCTCTCCCCAGCTTCCTGCCACACTTGGCTTGGCCAGCCTCATCCTCTTTCAGGAGCTAAACACCAAGAAAAAAAAAAATCCTATACCTTGGGTAGGTTTTCCTGTAGAAAGCAAAGCATATTCTGAGAGAAAGGGATCACTAAGCTTTGCTTTGCATGGAAAGATTCACAGGACTTCTCTCGTGACAAAACTGTGCAATTTTTCAGGCTCTTCAGTGCAAATTACCAAATCTCTTCACCCTGACTTCTCTCAGTAAATTCCCACAAAATGGGTGCACAGCATAACGTGCAATGGAACCTGAGGACTTACGTATTGAGCAAAATCAAATTATTTCTGACATATATTATCTCTGACAACTGACAGTTGGAGCTGCTTGGGCAGAAAGGGTAAGGAACAGGGATTATACAGTCACGCTCTCCCTGGCAGAACTTTCCAGCAATCAGCTGTTCTGTGATTTGAGCAGGAGCTTTGGTTGGACCAATTAAGTCTAATTTGAAGGTGCAATTTTACCTAATCACTTCTTGGAACCCACTTGTATTTTGGCCTGTAGCAATGACTTCCACAATTTACCTGTGCACTGGCTGAGCATCTACTGCCTTTTGCTTTTTTCCAAACTTGCTAGCTGTCCACTTCTGTGCTGCTATTACTGTGTGGATTATGAAAAATATTGTTCCTATTCACTTTCTCTCAACACTTCTAGTTTCACAGAGCACCAGCAAACACACCCTTTGCCACTTCTTTTTTTTAAGCTGAAGAGTCAGTCTCTATTTGGATGTAATTGTCTCCTTGTCACTCTTTTCTCTGCCAATTTTGTCCCTGTTTTTCAGTGTCTTTTCTTTAAGTGTTCAAGACGTGGCTGCATCACACAAACCCACGACACTGCCTTGTCCTCAGCTCCTTCCTTTACCATAATTAACATTTAATTGGCCTCACTGCTGCCGAGCACTGACTTAACCTTATCAAAAGCACATCCACAGTGGCTTTAAATGTTCCCTCTGCAACACAATTATTAATTTGACACTCCTCATTCTGCACGTGTATTTACAGGCACACTCCCCTGTGTACACTCATTTAATCCCCCTTGGGATTACCCTGGGTTTAGTTCTAGTGCAGTCTTTTGCTGTGACTTTCACATTTGACTGTGCTGAATAATTCTGTACCAGTTGCTGCTTCTGTCGCCTCACTTGTCACCTCCTTTTCCCAAATCACTGCTGACTGTGCTGAACAGAACAGGTTTCAACAAAGGACTGTGGGGAATCCACCAGGAACAGCTCTGCATGGTGAAAACTATTCCTTGTGCTTTTAGGAGTTACAAGCTCAAGAGCAGCCCCTCCGTGTTCCCTCACATCAGCTTGAATTCTCCAGGTAGTTTTGGTTTAGGTCCTGTCTGAAAGATTTTCAGAAAGCTAAAAGCTGGATAATCTTGCTCCACATGCCTGTTGACTTCTCCAAAGAACTCTTAATAGATTTACAACTCTCTTAAGTCTCTGCAGTGGAGCAAGTTGGCCTGAGAAATGGCTTCCTAAATCCTTCCAAAACCTTTGATTCAGCACATCATAGGTATCTATCTCATCCTGGTATCTGACACTTCTACTCCCTATCAGATTTTCCATCAAATTAGAATTACCTTTTCTGCAGTTCTGTAGCTCTAACAAACACACACCCACCTCTTTTTAAAAGCCTGAGTCCAATCTGTCAGTGCTTATTCCTCTGCTCATGGAGCAGATTTGAGCACAGGATTACAGATCATCATTGGAGGCTCAGCCACTTCACAGCTTCTGAAGAACATCTGAACAAAGACCACGTGGCCTCAGTGACTTGTCACTGTTCAATTTATCAGTTTGCCTAAAAGCTCTTCCTATTGACTCTCAGCAGGAAACTGTTTGTCAGACACACATTCACTCTGGAATGTTCAGCTGTGCCAAGTGAAGGCATTGCTGTCTCCACTCCTTCCCACCACTCCTCCCAGAGGTCCATGTCCAGTCACCTGCCAGTGTCTGAGTGCTTCTTAATCTGCTCCAGGCAAAAGCAGATGGGTTAAACAGCCTAATTGGCAGTTTAGGTAAATTAACCTGGCTGTTTTCCTGGAGTTAATTAGGAGACATGGAAACAAAATGCTCCATTTGCCAACTGATGGGAATGGTAACCTCTGGCAGGTGAAGGGTTTGATAAGCAGAGATGGGCAAGAGCTTAAATGAGCACAGAAGAAAGCCAAAATTCTGAAAGAAAACAAAACAATGGGGAACACCTCTGACCTTTTCTGCAGCACCTTCATTATTTAAATTCCTCCCTGTGAGGGTGGTGAGGCCCTGGCACAGGTTGCCCAGAGAAGCTGTGGCTGCCCCTGGTCCAAGGCCAGGTATGGACAGGGCTTGAAGCAACCTGGGCTGGTGGAAGGTGTCCCTGCCCATGGCAGGGGGATGGAATGAGATGATCTTTAAGGTCCCTTCCAACCCAAACCCTTCTGTGACTCTATGATTTAGCCAACATTCCTGGCTGGTTTTCTTACGTGCCTCTTCTACACCACGATCATATGTTGTCCCCATTTTTACCTGCTCCAGCAGGCTTCCTGCTTCTAACAACTTTCCTGAGGCCATCATTAGTATTTATATATCTAGTGAGTAGCCCTGCTGTAGGTCTCATCTGATCTCCCTTGGTGTGACTTTGAATTTCCTATGTAGGACACACTTCAATTTTGTTGGAGTATATCTTTCTATTTTTATAAAACTCATTTTAATAATGTCTTTGATACCTCCTTCCACTGTCTTATCTACAGCATAAGCGCTCAGAGATACATCCTCATCTTGCAGGAAGGAAATAATTCCTTTAGTTTCACACCATGTACACAAGTCTCCCAGATCAGTGGTGCAGTATCCTCCTGAATCCTTCTGGCTCCAGACATCTGTCCACAATAATAAAAGGACAGAACTGGAGCTATAATCAGGCCACTAAGGCAGAGCAGTGTAGGTAAGGTGTTGTCACCTGCAGCTACAGCACAGGCTTGTCACTGCCTTCAGGAGAACTTTTTCCTCCTGTCTCATCCCTCTGAAATTCTGTGTTCCCACTCTCACCTACCTCCTCAAGGGTCAATAAGTGGTGACACACTCCTTGGCTTCGAGCTTTGCCTTGGGGGAAACTCCAAAGTCCTCCTGCCACAAGTACCCTGCCCTGCAGCACATTGCACGTACCTACTTCTGCCCAGGGCTGGCTCTCTCCTTGCCCTGAGGGGATGCCTGAGGATGAATTCTCTGCTGTGGCCTCTGGAATTGCTTTCTGCAGGAACTGGGACCCCAACTGCTCACTGGGACAGCTGGTTGAGGCTTCAGTCACCACTGTAACACAGAGCACAGAAACTGTCTGCTTTAGGCGACAACACCGGATCTACTTAGTGTCCTTCTCACAGCCAAGCAGGAGGAGAGTTCATGGAGAGGAATTCAGGGCGGAAAACAAAGGTAAGGGATTAACAAAAGAATAAACAAAGTGGGATTGCATCAAATCGTTAAGAAGCAGAGGTTCCCCGACAGATACCAGTTCTCACTCCTCCCAGAGAGCCTGAAATCTGTCAGCCTCTCCCAGCTCCCTCTGAGCCTTAGTTAACACACCACGAGGCACAAACCCCCCCGGGCCGGAGCTGACCTGTGTGCTGGGGGGGCAGCGGGGACAGCCAGGGACACCTCCGCTCCCTCCGGGCGTCCGGCAGCGACCTCAGCCACGCCACCTGCCTGACGAGCTGCAGGAGCAGCGCGCCCAGCGCTCCCTGCACAGAACCACACACAGAATCACGGAAAACAGCCCCGATCCCTCTTCCCGGCCCGCTCCCACCCAGCCCCTCGTTCCCGGCTCTGTTTCGGGGCTCCCACCCCCGGGGTGTCCCCGGCAGAGACAGGGCGCGCTCCTCACCCAGGTGACAGCCTCCAGCACGGAGTAGCGGGGCACCAGGCGGGGCAGCGGCTGCCGCCTCTCTCCCGCTCGGGCCATCCTCACAGCGGGCGCCCTGGAACAACCACAAACACGGGCCCGTGAGGCCGGGCCGCGGCGCGGGGCCCCCCAGCCGCGGCAGGGCGGCGCACTCACCGCTCGGGGCTGTGCCCGCGGCCCTGCCAGCCCGGGGGCGCAGGCGCGGCCGGGCGGGGGTCGGCCCGCAGCGGCCCCAGCTTCGGCAGCAGCAGCCGCACATCGCCCCGCCGCCGCCGCGAGGCAGAGACACCGGGGAGCGGCCGGGGGGACGGCGCGGGGGGCTACGGAGGCGCGGGGCCGCGCGGCCGGGGCCGGGGCCGAGCGGCGGTGTGAGGGCGGCGGGGCCTGCGGCGGCGGCGCGGGCAGAGCGGGGCCAGAGCGGCCCCGCCGCCATGGCGGGCACACAGCCGCCCCCCGCCCCCGGGAGGCCCGCGCTGAGGGGCCGTGAGGGCGCGGCCGGAGCGGGCCCCGAGGGCGGCTGTCGTGGTCTTGCAAAATGTGGACTATTAAAAAGAAATTCTTAAGAAATTGTATTCTTTCGTGTTCGGTCTTTGTTTGCTTTCAAGCCTGCTGAGCAAGAAGGGAGATTTAACCCTTGAAACGGCAGCCAGCAAGCTCTAAGAGATGCCCAGGTGTTCGAAAAACAAATTACTTGGTGGTAGAGTTGCCTTGTGAATGGTGCTGGCATCTCAGAAGTCAGAAACAGTTAACAATTTGCCCAGAGTGTTACAGGGGGTCAGAAGGGGGTTTGTGAAACAGGGTCTTGCCATATTGTTGCAAAATATGGAATGTTAAAAAATTTTCTTAAGAAAGGCTGGGCTGTTCTTTGGTGTTTGATCTTAGTGTACTTTCAAGCCTTATCAAGAAGGGACATTTAGTCTGCAAAACATAGAGCAGCTCACAAGCTCGAAGTGATGTCCAAGTGTTAGAAGTACAAATGACTTGATGGTGGAATTGCCCTGTTAAGGTTTGGGGTTTGACGTGTTTCAACAGTCTCAGGCCTAAGAGAGGTTAACAAAGCCTGGGAAGAAGGATGGACCACTGAAAGTGGACACAAAGGATGCAGAATTTGCAGGCTACAAGGACATCTGGCAGAACCCCCGAGATAAGGAAGAAATTAATAAAGACAACTCTGATTTTGCTGAATCAGCTCCGATTGGGTTAGAGGTAATTCTGGGGGGGAGATTGTGACTACCATCTCATGGCCACCAACCCCCAGAAACCCACCCAAACAAAAGAAAAGGAAGACTGAGCATGTGGACTAATTACAATGAGAAGTGAGAGAATCGTTAACCAATAAAAAATAGAACCGTTAATAAGAGAACTATGCAGCTTGTAGCCAATAACCATGAATGCCTGTGTTTGCTAAAATATATAAATAGTGAAAAGTTTTGGTAGTGGTGGGACAACAGCAGGGAAGGTCCCTAGGGATCTGCCACAGCTCAGGGTGGGGGGATAACACCCCATGGAAAGCACAAGCAGGGACACACAGCCCTTCCAGCCAGCTGGACCCAGGTTGTACCTGCAGCTTTGGGGTGTCTCTGAAGACACCCTGAGCCCAGAGATGAGCCCTGCCTTAAATATAGGGACCACATTAGTAGGGTGAAGTGCTGAAGGATTCCTAAACCTGTGATTATAAACCAAATAAACTGTGCCTTTTCCTACAAAGTTGATTGAGGGACTGGAGCAGCTCTGGGAGCAGCAAAGGCTGAGGGAGCTGGGGCTGTTCAGCCTCCAGAGCAGAGCCTGAGAGGGGCCCTCCCCAGGGGGTGTCAGGGGCTGCAGGGAGGGGGCAGAGGCTGGAGCAGGCTCTGCTCGGGGGGCCCAGCAATGGCCCAAGAGGAACGGGCAGGAACTGATGCCCGGGAAGTTGCAGCTGGACAGGAGGAAGAACTTCTTTGCTGGGCAGTGACCCAGCCCTGGAGAGAGAGCAGAGAGGGTGTGGAGTCTCCTGACTGGAGATCTTGCAGAGCTGTGTGGACACAATCCTGTGCCATGTGCTGTGGGATGGCCCTGCTGGGCAGGGAGGTGGGACCAGATGAGCCACTGTGGGCCCTTCCAGCCTGACCCAGTGTGTGACTCCTCACCTACTGTGCATCTGCAGAGCAGGGGGTGTTTGGGTGCCCCACCCGAGTCGGACAAGGGGAGATTGCAACACAAGAAAGTCATTTCAGGTGTGATCAGAAACTCCATCAGTGGTTCATCCTGTAATCAGGGACATGATTAATTATATTTGGGACATGGGTATAAATGCAAAACATTTGTTTCAGTTGTGAATGGAAAAGTGCAATAAATGCATTAAGGCGTGGGTATGGTTTGGGTTGTGTGTGGATCTCCCCCCACCTCTGGTCCCATTCAGCCTGGCTTTGTGGCTGATGGTGCTCACAGGGGCTCCCTTGGTTTATATGTGCTGTGTTTGTTCCAGCAGTGTTGCAACAGGAGATGGCAGAGTTCCCAACGGAGACCGTGCCATGCTAGCGGGAGGAAAAATCAGCTTTATGTTGTCCTTCCCTGGTGGTTTCCTTCAGCAGTAGGAATATTGCTGTGCTCATTCCAGCTGAACACTCCACTTTCTTGTTTATTTCTTTGTTCCAGAGGCACAGAAATTCTTGGTCTTTCTCTTTTCAAGCCATCTGTGCTGGTAATTCCTGTTATGAACTCAGGGTTCTTGTTCAGTTTTATCTGTGGTTTATGCTTCAATAGCTGCAAGTTTAGCTTCAAGTGTGGCTTTCCCAGAGATCCATAATCACTCTCCTTCATCAGCTTAAACACCTGCTTTAGACTACCAAGTTTCTCTAGGTTTTCCACAGCTTTTTTTTTTTTTTGTAATGTTATATGGGACACAAATCCTTTATCCTTTTCACCTCAGATTTGGCTTAATAGTGTAATTACAAAGTAATTTAGTTGCCTGTTTTACTAAATGTGTCTGTAATTGTCTCATGTTAGTAGACCGGTGTTTGCTAAGCTACTACAGTTTGTTTGGGGATGAAAATTACATGCAAAATAGAAATATCAGCATCTCCACTATATAATCTTGCCTTAATTTTCTTGCTCATCAGGTTGATACCATTAATTAATGCTCCAAAATCTGAACCTGCATTTGCTGGTATTGGTTCTTCCAAGGTCTGCTCAGCTAATCACTGTATTTTTAAGGCTGTTAGTCCTAGTTTCCTTTCAAGTCCCCAACCAGTTGATGAGTGATGCTCTCTGTCTTTTCTGCAACTAGCAAGGCAACAACAGAGCTGCTCTGTTTGGATTTACATTGTGAGGATTCCACAGGAGCTGCACAGTGTCCGTGGTGCAGTGGTGTGTTTGTGTCTGACACTGCAGAAGGGAAAATCTTCAGATGAAGATGAAAGGGGGATGCTGAGGGATGAGGAAGCAGCTCTGTGGAGGACTTGTTGGTCCTGGGGGACAACCAGCTGTCCCTGCCCAGCCGTGGGTCCTGGGGGCCAAGGAGGCCAATGGGATCCTGGGGGCATCAGGAAGAGCCTTGGAGCAGGGCAGGGAGGGGATCCTGCCCCTCTGGCCAGCCCTGGGCAGGCACATCTGCAGGGCTGGGCCCAGCTCGGGCTCCTCAGCACAGCAGGGCCAGGGAGCTCCTGCAGCGGGGCCAGCGCAGGCTGCGGAGATGCCCAAGGGCTGGAGCAGCTCTGGGAGCAGCAAAGGCTGAGGGAGCTGGGGCTGTTCAGCCTCCAGAGCAGAGCCTGAGAGGGGCCCTCCCCAGGGGGTGTCAGGGGCTGCAGGGAGGGGGCAGAGGCTGGAGCAGGCTCTGCTCGGGGGGCCCAGCAATGGCCCAAGAGGAACGGGCAGGAACTGATGCCCGGGAAGTTGCAGCTGGACAGGAGGAAGAACTTTTTTTCTGTGACGTGACTGAGCCCTGAAGAGAGAGCAGAGAGGGTGTGGAGTCTCCTCACTTGAGACCTGTCTGGACACAATCCTGTGCCGTGTGCTCTGGGACTGAGCAGGGAGGTGGGACAGGTGATCCACTGTGGGCCCTTCCAGCTTGAACCATTCTAGAATCCTGTGATTCTGTGAAGGGAACTGTCACAGCAAGACAAAGCTGAGATGGCAAAGCCCAGAGGTATCAGGGAATAACGTGGGTAAAGGAGTAAATGTTGAAGAGAGAGAGGCTCAAGCTAAAGCAGGAGGATGGTCAGTGAGGGCTGCTGTGGGGTCTGACCAGCTCAGCTGGTTTGTGTCCTTGCAGAGTGGGAAGGACACTGAGAAGGAAGAGGTGACAAGCCATGAGGAATTGCTGCAGGTGCAGAGTGTGTCAGTGCAGCTTTTCTGGGTGCTGATGGTGGGATTTTGTTCCATGCACCCAAGGGTGCTGGGGGAAGTGGCTGATGCCACAATAATCAGGAGAAGATTCTGCTGACTGAAAAAGGGCAAACACCAGACACTTATTCAAGAATTCTTCCTTGGGAGGGTGATGAGGCACAGGTTGCCTAGAGAAGCTGTGGCTGTCCTATTGCTGGAAGTGTCCTAGGCCAGGTTGGAGCTACCTGGGCTGGTGGAAGGTGTCCCTGCCCATGGCAGGGGGGTGGGATGAGATGATCTTTAATGTTCCTTCCAACCCAAACCATTCTGTGATTCTATAAGAAGGGTAAGAAGAAAGATTGGGCAACTCTATGCCACTTGATTTAGCCTGGCTCTCTGGAAGGTGATGGTGCATCTTCTCCTGGAAACTATTTTAAGCAAGAGGTGTTTTGGAACAGCCACAATGGCTTTGACAAGGGCAATCTGCCTAAACAACCTGATGATGAAACTGGTTCAGAGAACAAGGGGAGACATGTGAATGGTGTTTACCTTGAGTCTACCAAGACTTTGACGTGGGCACTCATAGTGTCATCTTACCAACCTGGTGGGTGAGGTATGGATTGGGTAAATGGGCTATAAATTGGATGGAAAATGGCCTGGATTGTTGGACTCAGATGGTGGTGATCCATGGCTGAGCACAGTGAGTGTACCAGAAGAGGCTGAGAAAACTCTATTTGTTACCACGGTAATTTTAGGGAAATAAGTACTTTGCTCCTTAGGGAGATAAATACTGTGCTCCTTAAGAAATATGTTTATTTTGGTTGGAAGAGGAAACCAGGCTTGTTGTAGAAAGCAAGTTAAAAATAGACATCAAAGTTCTAGAAGGTTATATACATTCTATGGTCTTTTAAAAACCTTGCAATTGAAAGCACTCTTTCAGTCACTGGTTTAAACACTCATCAAGGCCCATTCCCCCTTAAAAGTCAGACAAAATGAACATATCTCCAAGTCCTTCATTGTTTTTTCAAGACACATTTGCCACTGGAACTTTATTCTCTGGGTGCTGGTTCCTCTGGTCTCATAGAGGTCTTCTGCTAACTTAGGTTTTCATCAACATTTTTATTTTTCTGC